ATCCCTCTTTCTGTTTCTCTAGCGAAAAAAGTTTTATTTAAAGTTGTACAGGGGGCGCTTTGTCCATACTCCCCCCTGCCACAAAATGCAACACCCCCCCCCCCCCCCCCACACACACACACAGCCCCCGTGGTGCTTTCTTTTTCGTCTGGGAATGCCTAATGCCCGACGCTGCTTGGCCCCAGGAATGCAACGAAGTTTGTGGCACACACAAACACAGACACAGACAGAGACAGAGACAAACATTCTGTTGTGGCGCATATGCATTCCATACCCATCCATTCCCATATAGGGCGGAAGAACCATACCATACCATACCATACCCATGTATTGTATGCCTATGGATGCCGCCCCCACCCTCAAACATTACAACTCAATCATCGTTCGAAAATAGCAAATCTCTCTTAAGATTTTCCATCCATTTCCGTTATTTTTGGAAACCATTGAGGAACAGCAGCATCAGCAGAAGCAACAGCAGCACGAAGAGCGCGAGGGCGGGGGGTGGATATGGATGTGGATGTGGATGTGGATCTTCGATCCCCAACGATGCCAGAGATCTGAATGATTTAGGAACAGACAAGAGGTGAAAATCAAGCTGGAATTTTCTATTTAAAGCATACCGGAACTGAAATATCTCCCCTACAACACTTCCCATTGGGGTTCCTCCACCATAAAACATTCTTCTTTAGTGTTGTAACCTACTTTTCTATCCATGAATAAGCTACACAAATCTGATGGACTGGGAAATGATCAAACACTCGGGAGTCTCAATAAAGTTTGGCGTCTTTCAAAGGGTTTCCTAATTGAATTCAGAGCATGTTATAATATATTCTCTTCAGTGGATATGTGCCATATATTGATCTTGCCTTGAAGAGAGTGTGAGATGGCCATGTAACCCAAATACATTGCTCTTAATAAACCTTACGTCCTTAGTTGATCAACTTGATCAAGGGTGATAGTGACGTACGATTGCTGGCCCTGACCTGATTGCAGGGATCCTCTGCATGAACCGTTTAAGGAACAGATATGTAAGTAGATAAGACTATGGATGAAACCTCCCTCTATTACATTATATCTACAGCCCATTCTCTTCTTCTTCTAATATACCTTTCTCGTACGAAACATAATTACTGGATGTACACGAGCAGTGCGGCTATACGCGTCGCGCGTCATGCAGCAGCGCCCCTCGGTAACAGTCGCATTTGTGGCCTCTTGATGGTGCATTGCATTGCCAAAGGGTGCTCCACGATCTGATCTCGAATGAGATTGAGATGTATTTCCCATTAGGAATACAAAAGATGTAAGCTAATCAATGATAGAAGCCTTGGTGAATAATACTGGAAGCTAAAGCCAAACTTTGTTAGGCGTTCCAATAAGGTATCATATTTCGCAGCGAATCTCAGTTCAGTTCTCATCAGAGTCAAATGAGATTGAGGGAGGTGGGATGGCAGGGGCTGGTTGTTTCCCCGTTGATCTTTACCGATTTGGCTGCCGATCAGAATCACGCTGTTTCGGGGCTGGCTACACACGTAATTGGGTGTCCTGCTAAAAAAGTCATAATCACCTGTCCATCCCATATCATCCCAAACCCGTACAGACACCTTGGGAACGGACACACGAAATTCGAAAAGCCGTAAAGCGATTTTTATGCACCAATGACATCGACAGCGTCTCTGCCGAGTGCATCGGATCGGTCTCAAGGCAGAGAAACAGACAAACAGAGAGAGAGAGAGCGAGAGAGAGAGAGAGAGAGAGAGCAGACAGCAGAGAGAAAAAACAGAACTGAAAGACCAAAGACAAATTCCTGCGTTTTTCCAGGAATTCACTCAATAAACTCAAACAAAACCCAAACATTTAACAAACGAGCAGAGCCGCAGCCACAACCACAGCCTCAGCCACAGCCTCAGCCACAGGCAGAGCCACGAAGAAGACGAAGAACGACGACAACGAAGACGAAGATGCTGACCTGACCAAGACGGAAGATGGAGATGGAGTTGGAGTTGGATATGGAGGCGAAGCTGAAGATGGGGCACAAATTGAATGGAAAGGGATGGGGGGGGGGGGGGGGAGTAATAAGAGGAAGAGACGACGATGCGAAGCGCTGAGCAAAACACAAAATAAACCAAAAAGCAGGCAAGGAATTTCAAACAAGAACCCCATAAAGTTGTTGCTCTTGTTGCACTCTCTGAAGATGGAATGGAGCTGTGAATGTGAAGTGGAAGTGGTCATGCCCCAGAGTGGCAGAATGCAGGCAGGAGGCGAGTGGCGAGTGGCGAGAGGCACAAGACAAGCAGGCGGAGAAATGCGCTTTTTTTTAAGTTCAATTCAGGGTTGGACACCACCTACTAGGCGAGCAGATTGAAGATCCCAAGATTTACCCAATTAGAAACCTATTCGGATATTTCCAAGCCGCCTCTGCGCCAATGATACTTCAAACTTCCCTTTCCAGATCCCCCAAAACTCCATTAAAACTCTGAAATACTTAGTTCTCGACTGGCAGTAGCCTTGATCACTGGTTGTGGTGTCATTTGGCAGGGTACTCGCATTATCAGCAGCGCCAAAAGGAGACACCGAGGCCACAGGTAGAGTAGCGACTGGGATGGAGATGGAGATGGAGCTGGAGATGGAGGAGTGGGCGAGCAGTCGGGAATGGGAGATGGGAGATGGGAGACGACAGCGGTGGCTGTCTGGCTGCATTCCAAGTCACACAGAAACCAAACAGAACCGAACCGGGATGCTTTGGAGGACAGGGCAGCAGAAGAAGGAAAAGTAGAAGTAGAAGCAGCCAAACCTAATCCGACTCCAAATGGGCTGCGATGCGATGTGTCGTGCCACGAACCAGCATCAGCAGGCAGCAAGCAGCTCCTCCGATGGCGCTGGCGCTGCTGCTGCTGCTGCTGCTGGTGCTGCTGGTGGTGCGGTACTTTTGCTGCGACTGCCCCTGCCGCTTCGGTCGACTCCCCTAAAAACTCCTCTAAAAATTATTTATTAACATGGTAGAAATTCGCAAACAGGTTAAAACGACCAATCAAAGCAACAACAACAACAGCAGCAGCCGCCGCAGCAGCAGCAGCAACAACAACAAAAGCGGCGGCGGCAGCCAAAGACCCAAAGTGCAGATAATATTAAAAGGCAGTCAGGCAGTGAGGCGGCAGCCAGCCCCAAGTTGCATGGACTGTGCGGAGGCCGAGAGAAACTGCGGCGGAGGAGGGGTGGGTGGAGGCGATGGCGGGGAGCTTGGGCCCCGACTGCCAGACACATTTCGAAAAGGGCCAACACGAAATTCCATGGGAGTCGTTGACTCGCTTTTGGCTGGTTACTTTTCTTGGGAAAGTTTTTGTTGAAAGTTGGATACGGGACGGGACTGTTGGACAGTAACTGAATTTTGCCTGCCTGCCTGCCTGCCTGCCTGGTCGATAAGGTGGCGGTGGCGGTGGCGGTGGCGGTGGCGCTGTGCAGAGCACACCAGCACATAAACCAGGTAGGTGGCAAGTGATTAGTAATTAATGGATAAGGTCGGTCCTACTTACATATGCATCAGTGCACATAAACACAGCGGAGACGATGGACACTGGAGTGTCCTTCAAGATTAAGTACTTGCACAGAAACCCAAAGACTTCGTGCACGTAATTCCCGTCAAGTTCCACTCCCACTACATCCTGCACTTTGAAAAGTGGCAGAAAAATGACACCCTCTCTTTCATTTGTCCTGCAGTCCCAAGAGATACAATCAGCTCGGAATTATTTTATACATGTATTTAATGGCATTATCAATTTCTGAGAGTGGAATTTTTTAGAAATTCCTTTTCCTGGTAGCGGCAGTTATTCCATATAAATAAAATGCACCATTCCCGCACTGCCCAAAGTCAGCCAAAATGACCAGCAAAAAAAAAAACAAAAATAAAAACAAAAACAAAACAAAACCCCTAACCGCAACCTCGAGAGAACGAGTCGAACTTGACAACCGGAATGTGCGAGGAATTTCTGGACCCGACCCTCGCCCTTCCATAGAAACCCGAACATAAGCAGACTTTGTGGCCAAGAAGCAAATTGGTGATTTATTTATAGCAACATCGAATCGAATTGGCAAATGCCAACGCAGACGGGGTGCAGCCAATTCTTAGGATAGTGTCGGAATCCCTTTTCGGAGGAGATAAGATTAAAAGGTTGGGCTGGCGCCAAGGGATTGTCTTCTCGGACAACCATTTGAAATAATATCCATTGGAGTCATCACAAATATATTCCGCTAATCGGCTCAAGCTTGCCATTTAAATCAAACTGCCCGCCATGTTTCGATTTCAATAACGATTAGATTTCCATAGAAATCGATTAATAGCGCCCTCTTTCAGGAAAAAATGACAACTGACTTAGTAAAATTGAAGCTCTACAGATGGCGCTCTTGGGCTTGCACCATTGCGTAAAATTCAATTATTGCGTTTTTCCGTTAAATAACGTAATGACTAGGTTAATTAACGTAATGCTACAAGGAATAAAAAAACCGCTTAAATAAATTATATCTATGATAATTGCTTCGATCGCACTTTTTTTTGCATCCCATTCTCCATTCAAGTATTCATTACCATCAATGAACTCTCGCCGGACACTATATATATTTACACGTTAGAACAGCAGCCAACGACTTATATTGATAGGCAAATTACGAGTCTGTACTATCTATTATAATGATGTTTGCACAGCGAGTAATCAGTGCAGATTGCCAGTCAATAATAATATGACACCAACGACACCCAAGATAAGCACATCATCCCTGTGGGGCCACGAAATGAACGAACCCCACTGCCATTAATCTGCGCACACAAACACATGCTCGCTGCGAACACAGGGGCATTATTTCAAACGTTTCGCAGCTGCTTTGCTGCTACTAGCCTAGCTGATAAGAGCCACTCCGACAACTGGCAGCGGGCGGCGGAACGGATCGTATCGGATCGGCTTTCAGTCATTGAAAGTGTATATACAAAAAAATAACAGCCAGCAACTCACGTAGTACGCCGGCAGTTTTCATTCGCGAACAAACGTCCAACAGACCAAGAGCGTCCAAAAGCCAAGTCGATATTCTGTTGAGGACAGTCCACAGACCGGAGATGCGCAGCTTAAACCGCTTTCGTCTCATCACCTTCGACGTGACTAACACGTTGTTGCAGTTTCGCACTAGTCCGGGCAAGCAGTATGGCGAGATCGGAGCTCTGTTTGGAGCGCGCTGTGATAACAACGAGCTGGCCAAGAACTTCAAGGCCAACTGGTGGGTTTTCCTCCTCCTGTCTGAGGGAACATCCTCCTAAGTAATGGAAAATCCTTCTTTTCAGGTACAAAATGAATCGGGATTATCCAAACTTTGGTCGGGACACAAAGCCACCGCTGGAGTGGCAGCAGTGGTGGCGTCAGCTGATAGCAGGTTCGTGTGTGTCTGTGTCGAGTGCTCAGCTCTGTGATAAACAGAAAAACCTTGTTCCAAAGTGCAAACTCTCGATGGTCGCACTCTACTAATACATGATTATAATACATTAGGTACCTTCTCGGAGAGTGGAGCTGCCATCCCAACGGAGAAGCTGACCAACTTCTCAAACCATCTGCTGGAGCTGTACAAGACATCCATTTGCTGGCAGCCCTGCAATGGCAGCGTTGAGCTATTGCAGCATCTGCGCAAGGAGCTGAAGCCGAACAAATGCAAGCTGGGGGTCATAGCAAACTTTGATCCCCGTCTGCCGGCCCTACTGCAGAACACCAAGCTGGACCAGTACTTGGACTTTGCGCTCACCTCGTACGAGGCGCAGGCAGAGAAGCCGGACCCATTGATATTCCAGCGGGCTATGGAGGAGTCGGGCCTAAAGAACCTGAAACCGGAGGAGTGTCTGCATGTGGGTGATGGTCCCACCACAGACTATCTGGCCGCCAAAGAGCTGGGTTGGTATGCAGCGCTGGTGCACGAGAAGAGCTACTCGTACTTGATGAAGAAGTACGGCGAAGATATCGACCGGGACCACGTCTTTCCCAGCCTGTACGACTTTCACAAAAAGATCTCAGATGGTGCTGTGGTCTGGTGACCACAGTCATTGTATTTCTTATGCCAAGCCTATTTCAACGTTTCTTCCTTTTGCTGCTCTTCGACTGGGGGAGGGACCTGGGCCATGAACAAATCGCCATAGGGATTGTGCGGCTTTTGGCTCTCGCGATCGTACTTGGGGCCGATGGCCCACAGCGACTCCAGATCATACTCCTCCCTGGCCCTTGGTGAAAATATATGCAATGCAATGTTGCCTGAAAATTATACTCAAATCGTTAACTTGGGGATAGCTTCGGAATATTCGGGATTTAGAGACTGACCCAAATCCATGGCCATCCAGTCGCGACTCTTGTCGCCCTCGATGCGGGGCAGAATGTCACCTTTGGTGCGCTTGATCTTGAACATGCGACGCACAAACTCCGCCGTGGATATCATGTGTCGGTAGCTGCGTCCACTGCACACCACCAGGTGATCCACATACTTGAGATCCTCGGGTACGTAGCATACGAAAATATCGTCCACATTCTCCTTGCGCAGCAGTTCCACCAAGTCCTCGATATCAAACACTCCACGGATGCCCCCTGTGAGAGGAAATTGTTGTTTAATTTGTATTATTTATGAATGCAACAACTTACTCTTCAGGTTCAAGCCATAGTACTGATCTAGAGCTGCGTCCGACTCATCTGGCAGATGTTGTTCCTGGTGGCGTGCCTCTTCCACATCGAAAATCTCGGGGGCCTCATCATCGCGGAAAACTTTGTATTTGTTCTGCACGCCGCCGACCAGAGTCTGGAAGGGATTCCCTTGCGACTTCTTGGTTTTCGACGGCTCCGTTGGTGGCGTGGAGAACTCGTGGTGGAAACACCTCAAAACGGGGACGCTGAGGCGTTTATCATGAATTAAACGAAACACGCGAGAGATCAACATATTTTAATTATTAAATAACACGCGTTAGTGGTGGGCGATGTGATTTATCGGTCAAATATACTGTCTGACCCATCGAAATATACCGAAACATACCATCTCTTTTTAAAACTATACCGTAAATTATGCTTTTTTATTATAGTAATATTATTAAATAAACATAAATAACTCTAAGTGAGTATAAATTATGTGCGTGACAACTTTGCGAGAATAAAAAATTATATTACATGTATTTATTATAGGTAAAATATAGTCCAAAGAGTAAAAATATAATTTAACTGATACGTTTCTAAATTCAACACGTTATATTCTGCTAGTACACTTTTATCTGGTGACAAAATCGTCCTGAAATAAGATAAGGAATAAAAAATAAGACCCATAGAGGATTGCAGCTCTTGAATACTCAAGAGTACTTGAGTAGCTCTTAGAAAAGTAGTTGAATGTTTCTATTACGTTGGCTTTGGATTTCTTCGTTGCCCTAGCATATCGTATCAAGATTAAGACAGTTTTGTTAAAACACTATATCCTTTTAAATTGTTTTATCGTTCTTGAATCAGCTGAGAAAATCAGCTGAGAATTTGTAGTTTTATTGAGCTAATGCAAAATGTAGAAGGTCACACTGGTTGTAAAACGTCCACACTGCTCGGAACTTGTAACTGTGAGTGAAATACATTTCGAGGGCTTTTTGCACTTTATATAAGCTGATCTAGATGCACGGGGTAAAAACAAAAAAAATTTGATTTAAAATGAGCTAAATAGCGATTAATAAAAGAAAAGTAAAGCGAGAAGTAGAGTAGTGCTCTCTCGTGCGACGATAAAATGAGTCGTAATTTTGAATGGGCTATAAAAAGGGGTATGGAAGACAGGCAAAAACATCCAATGCAAATTGCAAGTTCGTACGAACCCTCACCTAGCGTTTGAGCACAACATACCTTGTAGACTAAATCGGCAAGGTAAATTAAGCAAGTAGGGTGGGTTTTACCTTTCATGCGTTGCATTTTTGGGCCGAGTTGCCCGTTGTCCACACCCTCTTTTTCCGTCCGTTATGTAGCATGTAGCAAATGTGTAGTAGTTATTTATAAAAATTTAGCGTGCGTAAAATTCAAGCGTGACACGGTCGGTCACAACGCCGCCTGACTCCAAATTATAAGTTAAATTTGCGACAAAACGAAGGAAACAAAACAGTGCACAATGAGTGAGCAGAAAACAAGTGGGTCGCCGTCCCCAACGACCACAAAGGATAACGCGGCCGCCAGGCAGAAAATCGAAACGGAATATAACAATAAAAAGACTGGATCGGGCTGGCATCGCTTCTACAAGGTAAAAACAACAACAACACCAATGACGGGCTACTGCTGTTGCTGTTGCAGTGAGAAGGGAGAATAATTGCACCACTTTCAAGAACAGTGGAGAAAAAGCAATGGTTTGGCGACTCCAGGAAGGAGGATGCACGTAGCAGCAGCGACAGCCTGGCAGGAGTCACAAACGTGTACACAAAAATTTGTATTGTATTCCTTTTCGATTCGATTTCCACGAAAATGTGATGAGTGCGCAAAAGGCTTCTGCAGATGCCTCCACCACCAACACACATGCATATCTAAATGGGAGAATGTGTGTGTGTGTAGGCACGCCGCCTCTGGCCCCACTGTTGTCATGTGAGCGTGAATGTGTGTGTGCCAGTGTGGTTGTGTTGGTGGCTGTTGCTCCGTCTTTGGTTATAAGTGGTCCCCAGCCTGGCTCAAACAGCATTTGACCAAAAAAAAAAACAGAATAAAGTGTACAAACAGATTCTCACACACATGCATAGACCTATGCACGTTCATACACAGCTACAGCTACAGTGACAGCTCTGCTCACCTGCTGCACTCTGCTTTGAATTTGGCTGCAGCTCAAACAACAGTACTTGCGTGGTGTGCGTGTGTGTGTTTTAGAGAGTGTGTGTTTGCATATTTATGCTGTTTCTGGTGTTTCTCTCTTTTTGAGAAATGCTGTTCCCAGCGCTACCCCATTCTTTACACCTCTGCTTCCCCCCTTTTGAAACTTTTATGATTAGCCGAATTCCCGTCTCTTTTTATTTTCTTTTTCTAATAATTATTGATAGGCCTCTGCCCCCTAGTATATTGGGTTTTGGTTCCGCGAATTTTGGGGCCCATAACTGAAAGGCGGGTTTTTCCAGGAAACAATTTTTGCATTTTGCTTTGTTTTGATTGCTGGACGTTTGTTGATATAGGAGTTAAGTGATGGGGAGGAAGGGAGGGAGGATACTTTGACAAGCTTATTTTTATCGCAACGCATGAATTGTGCGAGGACTGTTAGGGGGAGGGGGGGTTAGACTAGCTTTTTTCCACTTGGGAACTATTCCAATACACACACACACACACACACACACAAACATATGTATGGACACTCTATCCAGTTACACACACACTCGCACGCATCTCTCGCCAAGGGGCACAAAGGGCATGCGTCTGGTTTTGAGTCTTTCTTTGGGTTTCTTCTTGTTGCTGTGGCTGTTCCTGCTCCTCACTGCTCTTTCTTCTGGTTCATTGCTGGCAGTTTCTGCTTTATAGCCAGTTCCGGCGAAATGTGTCTTCAGCTGCTGCCGCTGCTTGGAAGAGCTCTGCCATGGCCAGGCAGGCACTCACTTGAATTGGGATTTCACGGAATTCAGCTTCGCAGTTAGGAAGAGGATGCCTCTATCTGTGTGCATGCGTGTCTGTTGGCTTGTGTGTGTGTGGCTGTGTGTGTGTATCTTCCTTTATGGCCTCGCAATGGCATCCTTTTGTGCCCAGCGGAGGATAATCTAATTTTCCAACTAACTGAAAGTAGTCGTCCCTGCACCACAACACGACAACAAACAACACAAATTATGTGTCGCAAAACAAATTTTTTTTTTCGGTGGAACATCGCATCCCCGTGGATGATATTTCTATTGAAATCTTCCATAAAATACAAAAACAAAAAAAAAGGCGAATTCAAGTTTTTGTTATGCTTTTTGCGCACTTGGCGTATAATCATTTCCATTGAACGCACTCCACTCCCGTTATGCTTCCCGCTCTCTCTCTATCCCTCTCTCTCTCTCTCTCTCTCTGTCTTTTTGGAATGGATCCGCATCCAGTCTATCATCTTACACCTTGCCAGCCGCATTCACTCATCCATCCATTCCATCCATTCCCTCCTTCCACCGTTCCATCCATCCTTCCATTATGACAACCGCCGTGAAGTGTGACGCTGTGCCGCGGAGGGGGGGCGCTGGTGGTCGGGGGCGTGTTGCAATTATGCTCTGCATGCATGCAACGCTTTTTGTTTTGTTTTGTTTTGCTTGGCTTTTCTTTCGAGAAATACAATTCTTTGCACGCTTTGAAAATTCAAGACGGACCCCATCTACTCTCCCCTCCCTCTCTGGTATTTCTCAATTATCCTTCTCGTGTGTTTGTTTGCCTGTGTGCTTGTGTGTGTTTATAGCTTTAAACGGTAGAAGGGTCACCTGGATAATCAAGAAGCATAAAATAACTGTTGCTGCTTCGGCCACAAGTTGGTTAGGAAAGAACCAGTCGATCTCTAATACATCTATTAAGTACGAAATATTGAATAATGGAGCAGTATGTGATTTCCAATGGGTGTACCCGTGTATAGGATATAAGAGAGATTCCTTAGATTCGTAGCTAGTCTCTCAGTTGAAAAGGTATCGCAGTCGTAGCTCGATTCACTGTGTGGAAAATGCATTCATTCTTAAAGACAATATGAAAACAAAACATTCATAATATAGCTATTTTGAATGAGATATAATTGTCATGGGAATGAACAGTCCAGTCCTACCTAAGCTTCCATCAACCAAAGCCCAGCTTCGAGTCATTTTTTCTGCGTTCGATATCTCACATATTCTCACGTGACATGTGATAACTCATCATAACCATACTCGTACATCTCTCTTTTTATAACAAGTGGTTTAAAATAATATGAATTATTTGAAAATGATGTTGTACACTTATGTCCTTTCCCCAAGGGATTATCAATTATTGTAATAATCGGAAATCCCTCTTGGGCATTTTTTTGTGCCTGTAATAAACATTTCACTTGAATGTTCTGCTTATCGGACATTGCTCCGCTGATTGCGTAAGAGGGTCCAAAATGTATTTCATAAGAGGAAAAGTACATGCAATCAATGGATCCCAGGGCTCTCTCGGCTGATTCACACACACACTACCCCACACAATGAAAAATGGACAATTAACAACTGCTTTTTGGCGAACTGTAATCATCGAGAACGTCACTCGGCAAAGTTACTCATACCGAAAGCGCAGCATATTTGATGGAGTATGTGCCGTCTGATTACGAGCAGCTGGGTATGGTATCTGGGATGGCAACCAACCACACACCCATCAGCATATGCTCCACTCGTACATGCCATAAGCGGGGCTTGAGATGCACTTGTCACCGTGTGGATTGGCGCCATTGACCCTGTTTGCTGTTCTATTTGATGGTGCTGCTGAATGGTTCGATTCGTTTACAGCTGTGCCATCAATTGTATATTCAGAAACACACATTCGGCTGATAGAGCCGGCCGCAAGCAGCCAAAGCGGCCAAAGATAATGCCATTAACGACAGAACAGGCAGGGCAGCAGTCATCGTTGCCTGGCTAATTAGTCATGGCCGGTTTGTCAGCTGGGTGGGTGCCTCTGCCCCTGTCTCTGCCTCTGCCTCCGTGCCGTGCCGTGCCTCTATCTATTTAACTGGTAGATGGGTGATGGTGCCATTGGTGATGGGTTAGGCCCACCGCTTAAAGAGAAATGCGACCAACTTCTGTTCATATATGTATGTACATATGCATGTACATATGTGGGATGAATCAGTGGCCGGGGGCAGCCCTCCACACATGATAAAAGATATTGGATTTCTGTTGAATTACAAGAAAAATCCATGCGCTTTGAAACACTATATATGGAATATTGTGGTATATTTGAAATAAGCTCAAAGAATGTGATGAGTCGAGTATACATATATAGTAATTTGAATATCACTTCACATGATTTTAATTAACTTATATTTTTTCCCCCCATTCGGTGCTGTCAATTCCTTCAACTATCGGCTATAAGCCAGAGTCTGCTGTGGCCAATCTCTATCTCCTTAATTGTTGTTATTGTTTCCGGCAAAAGCACACGTATTAGCACATAAATTCTAATAGGTCCAATTTGAATTTTTTCTAGGAAATCTCTGAGAAATGTGATCGCGGGGCAAAAGTGCAACAGTTTAGTACACTGGAATCGGAGCGGTCTCAGAACCGAGGCCTGAATCGATATAGGGATGTGAATCCCTATGATCACTCGCGGATTGTTCTAAAGCGCGGCAGTGTGGACTACATCAATGCCAATCTGGTGAAGGTAAGCGCAGTCATTTGCCTTCTTTTCAATCAGAGGTCTAAGGATGATTTCTACATCCATTCGTTTAGCTTGAGCGTGCCGATCGCCAGTACATACTGACCCAGGGTCCCTTGGAAGATACTGTGGGGCACTTCTGGCTGATGGTCTGGGAGCAAAAGTCCAGCGCCATTCTCATGCTCAATAAGCTTATGGAGAAGAAGCAGATCAAATGCCACCTGTACTGGCCGAATCAGCTCGGACCGGAGAAGGCCCTCAAGCTGCCCAACGTTCAGCTCACCGTGGAGCTTGTGCGCTGCGAGACGTATCAGAACTTTGTACGGCGGTGGTTCAAGTGAGTGGCTAAGCGGCTGGCCCCTAAAGGAGGAAAAACTAATGTGATAAAAACCTTCCCCGCCACCCACAGATTAACCGATCTCGAAACGCAGAAGAGCCGCGAGGTGATGCAGTTCCACTACATCACATGGCCAGATTTTGGCATTCCCAGTTCGCCAGATGCATTCCTGAAATTCTTGCAGCAAGTACGTGACTCTGGCTGCCTCAGCAACGACGTCGGTCCGGCCGTGGTGCACTGCAGTGCCGGCATTGGTCGCTCGGGCACTTTCTGCCTGGTTGACTGTTGCCTCGTGCTCGTGGACAAGCACGGGGAGTGCAATGTGTCGCAGGTTCTGTGCGAGCTGCGCAGCTACCGCATGGGACTGATACAGACATCCGACCAGCTGGACTTTTCCTATCAGGCCATCATCGAGGGCATCAAGAAACTGAACGATCCCGTATGTATGCGCTCGCAGCGGCCGGCGTGCGGGAGCTGGACTTGGTGTTGGATGCTGGCTGGGCGCCAGTCCGCTGCCAAGCGCCGCCGTTTACAGTGGAGATTCTTCTCTGTGCTTAGGCGTTAGACTAATCCGAAATTCTCTCTTCTCTCTCTCTTTTCTCGCTTTTGCAGAGCTTTCTCGACGCTAAGGAACCAATCATTGGCAATGAGACAGATACACATGCACAGGATGAGCTGCCGCCTCCGCTGCCGCCTCGGACACATTCGCTGAATTTGCCGCTGGCCCCCAACGCGGGCGGAGTTCTCTCGCTGAACATGCGAGCCGCCCAATCCAATGGCGAGGAGGTGGCTGCCGAAAACATTGGCGACAAGCCCTCGGTGCTGAGCAGCAAGGATGCACTGAACAATTTTATCAATCAGCACGAGATCATCAACGCTGAGGTGGCCGACAGTCTGCGTCCCTTGCCGCCGTTGCCGTCTAGACCTTTAAGGTCGTTGCAGGAGTCGGATAGCGATGAGGACTACGACCTAGATGAGGAAGACGATGACGATGATGATGACGAAGAGGACGACGATGTTGACGAGGAGTACGAGACCATTAATGAGCTCGATGTGGAGCCCGTCAATGGAAATGTATCGACGACGACACCCCAAGCCGATGATGTGAATGCCAATAGCGAGAAGCCAGCAGCACCTGCCGAACAGCACAAGGCCAATGGTATTGACACAGCGGGCCAGACTCCAGCGAGGTAATACAAATGATGATGGAAACCACTCTGGGATTCTGCCCTAACCTTTTCGTTTTATTTTCAGTCCTGAGAACGAGCTAAAGCGACGAAAACGCACCGAACAGCAGGCCCATCTGCAGAAGCAAATCAACAACATGAAAAGGAAGCTGCGGGAGAGCGAGGACAACCAGAAGGCGTCAAAAAAAGGAAGGTCATTACTCACATATATTGCGGCTGGTGTTGTGGTGGGCGTGATTTGCGCATACGCATACACGAAGCTAGGTTAAGTGCCCACCCCCCATCCCCAGTCCCACCTACCCACTAAGTAGATGTAGACCTAGCCATTGAGTAGGCATTAGTAGCAATAGCAGTATGACGCCCGTTGCCGCGGGACACCGATCCTCGGCAGCTCGCCACGAGCGTCACGAACGTCACGCGTCGGGTCGCATTGTGAGTCTCTCATCGAGCCTCGGGCTAACATCTAATGTCAGCACGGATCGGATTGGATCGCCTCGCAACGCAATCATCCCGACGATTGGGTTGAAAGAACGATACGATACACATAATGCATATATATTAGGGAATTTTTTTACGAGTATATGAAACAAAACAAACGAAGAAAGAAGCAAGAGCAAAAGTAAAAACTAAGCGAAAATCGGGTAGAAATCACGTAACAAGTAGATTTTGCGCAATAGACTGACATTTTAGATCAAATTTATTTTTTTCATTTTAATAATGGAAATACTTAAATAACAAAACCCTGAAGAGAACCCCGGAAACCCAGACTTCCTGCACATATTATAGTTTTCGACACCCCGCACATACCCCTACACCAACACCAACACCCAAATCCGAAATCCGAAATCCACCCAAATCACATCCTTCGCTCGCTATGCAATAAAAATTGATTCACGAATCCTATATCTATTATATTTACGAGCCACGATCCAGACAGACACACACGCCCACGCGCTTCACTTGTTGTTGTACAGCAATTTCTTATCGCATACGACTTACATATGTATGTACAATTATTTATGAAGATTTACGTGAAGATCAAACACTTGTTGTAGTAGTACCATGGCAAACAAACGAAATGCAGCAATGTGCCAAAAAAGGAAAGCAAAAAGAGAAAACGAACATAAGAACAATGTGAAAAGCCCCTTCATGACTTTAAATTATACTTTGCTCCGGATCCCTTCCTTTCCCACATTTTAATTGTTGTTTTTAACGATTTATCATACAATGCACCCTACAAAAACGAAAGGAAGAAAGAACGAACGAAGAAATGCAGCGCCATTGAAGCAATAATAAAAAGTAATGCAAAATAGCACAAAAAACTACGAGTAAAACACTATGATTATGATATATCTATATACATATATATACGATACGTGTAGGTTTTGCTATAGCAAAATCATTTATATATTTTTTTTTTGTATTCTACTATAAACGAAACGAAAAATTATAAGGAATCAGAATCAGAATGAGAACCGGGAGTAACTATACAATGGTTTTGCCCCCATAGATTAAGTGTGTATGTCCCGTAGAACTAGAACCGCAGAATAGAAAGAGAACGAATGCGTGCAAGAATACCTACCATAAGAGTTATTTTTTATATATGTGTAATCCACAATTTATCGAAGAATTCAACTAACCAGATGCTGCAGAGAAACTACATTAAACAGAGACGGACATTAAATAAACGAAAGAAAGTGCAATGACACGCAATGGCTGAATAAAAAGTGGAATGGAATCGGATGATCAGTGGAGCGAAGTTGAGAGAGAGGGATAACTTTTATAAACTTAAACTAATAAACGAAAAATACATATTTATATAAAGTATATTTAACGAGTAACAACATGAACAATACCTATAGTAATGCCTAGTTAACTGAACAATTGGTTAAGTACACACACAAACATACGAAATCCCCCCACTCCCACAACACAACACACCACACCACACCACACAACGAACCACACACGCAATACAACAATATAAGCCTATATGAGAGATGAACGAACAGAGAGAAGTGAGAGAAAGTATTCAAATAAAGCTATATATGTATAAGACACCAAGAATTGAGCCTCTTCTATGCTATGCCGAGTACTTTTTTATTTATTTATTACGATTCATAACTCCTCGTTTTCATCTGTTTGATTTCAGACGCGATAACAACAGAAACAGAAGTCACAAAATGTGCAAGAAATCGTAACTGCCCATCTCATGCACAGACCATCAAGACCAGCACCAACACAAAGAATCAAAATTAACATATCACTTGACATAATATAATTGTAGATTTTATTGCAGAAATAAACATAATTATAAATTCTAGATTCGTAAATCATTTTAAGTGCAACGGCTTTTGCCGATAGTTCCACACATCGATTGGTCTTGTCTGCAAGTGTGCGACCACTAACCATAACATATATCGATGTGTTGAGTTGAATGTATATTTCATAAATGTCACCAATCTATTAAATTTCATTGTTTAATGTATAGTAAAGAACCTAGGGTATAAAAACATCCATATGCAGGTTTTTGAATTTTGGTTTATTCCACTGGATCGCATTCATATCCTTGTCACTCATTCACTTTCAAACAGGCGCAGTTCCAGCGATTATCTAGTCGATAGTATCGATAGCATCGTCCCGTAACATTGGAACGGAATGAAGAAAGGATATTTTATAGTTGAGGAATTGTTTGTTATCCAAGGCTAGCTTTTAAAGCTATCTCAACTAAATTTTCCTTTTTTTAGTTTTCTTGCAGAGACCAAGAGCCCATGGGCAGAGAACGATTAGCCCATTGTCGACCAGCGAGTATTAAAATAAAATCAACGAAAATTATGAAAATTTAAGAATTCTAGCGCAGCTCTGGTGAAAAATATCGTGGTCTTTTTTTAAGTGAATATAAATTATTTGTATTGTCTTTTTAACTGAAGTTGTTCTCCTGTTTTAATAATGGGGGCTTAAGTGGCCCAACAATCCACTAATAGTATCCTGTATGGGTTAGTGGTGTGATGTGACCATCGATATACTGAACTGTCAGAAACCGATTAGTACTCGATACTTCAATACATCAAAAAGTACTCGGTTCTGCACTTTTGTTTTTGTTCAGCAAATTTCGTATAAATTCTCAACTTTGGGCCAGGTGTAGCGGGCAATTTGTCTCACAATCTCATTTTAGAATAATGCCTGCTGTCGAGGAAGCGAAAATAATCAAATTTCTATCCAAGGTATGTCACGCAGATGAGTCATTGTCGAGGGGCATCTCCCCACTTTGTGACTCTCGGGAAACTTGTTTGTCTAATTTCGCATGCAACGCAATTAACGACGTGTATCCTTTTTTTTGCTTTCAGTATAAATATGTCGACGTCACTAAGAAAGATGTGATAGATGTTGTCACAACGTACCGAAGTCTGACCTACGACCTGCAAAAGTTTGGTAAGTCTATACCGCCTGATAGCAGCATCCAATTAACCATTTTCCCCGTCTACCCTTCGCCAGTGTTCAATGATGGAAGCTATAAAGATCTGTTTACCCTGCAGGGCACCATACCGGTTGTCTACAAAAGTAATTTTTGCACTTAGTCCAATTCGAGGCTCTGATTATGATGGAAATTATATTTGTATATTCAATAGATAACACCTACTACATTCCCATATGTATATGGCTGATGGACACTCATCCGCAGAACGCGCCTATGTGCTTTGTGAAGCCCACACCTAGCATGCATATAAAGGTGTCCATGTATGTGGATCACAATGGAAAAGTATATCTGCCGTACTTGCACGACTGGCAGCCGAACTCTTCGGATCTGCTATCCCTCATACAGGTCATGATTGTGACATTCGGCGACCATCCGCCAGTGTACTCGAATCCCAAGGAACAACAATTGGCTACGCCATATCCACCAAATGGTGAGTGGGTGTTCAAGTTATACCGAAAATCTCACATCTAATTGGATTCCGTTCTGCCATCTAGCTTACATGCAACAATCGGGAGGTGCTGGGGCCAGCAACTCCTTTCTGCCTTATCCTACAGCCAGTGGTGCGAGCGGTGGCAACTTTCCGCCCTATCCGACAGGTGCTAATTTCGGACCCTATCCACCAGGCGGATCGGGGGGCAATGCCGCCGGCTATCCGCCCTACATGAATTTCCCACAACAGCCTGGCAGTTACCCACCTGCTGGGGGCTACGTAAGAATCTTATTTGAAATGGAAAATGCATTTCAGTTTCAATGATTGTGTGACTTTTCTAGAACCCATCGGCGATTCCCAGCTCGACGGGCACCATTACCGAGGAGCACATCAAGGCTTCACTCATCAGCGCTGTCGAGGATAAGCTTCGCCGTCGCATACAGGAGAAGGTAAATCAGTATCAGGCCGAAATCGAAACGCTGAATCGCACCAAACAGGAATTGGTCGAGGGCAGCACGAAGATTGATTCCATCATATCGCGCCTCGAGCGCGAGCAGGTGGACCTGCAGAAGAACATTAACGTATTACGCGACAAGGAGCAGGAGTTGGAGAAGAGTCTGGAGACGCTCGAGAATGCAGAAGCCATTGATCCGGACGAGGCCGTGACCACAACGGCACCACTTTACAGACAGTGAGTCCAATCCAGTTGCATTCCAAGTTATCCTTGTTTGTAATTTTTTTGTGCTCTATTTCAGATTACTCAATGCCTATGCCGACGAGGCTGCCACAGAGGATGCCATTTATTATCTGGGCGAGGGTTTGCGCGGCGGGGTCATCGATCTGGAGACCTTCCTCAAGCACGTCCGCACACTCTCGCGCAAACAGTTCATCTTGCGAGCCACAATGCAAAAGTGTAGACAAAAGGCTGGACTCGCCGGCTAGTTTCCGGATACGACGTCAATAATAGCTTCTTTTTTTTCAATAAGCCGCAGTTATTATAATTTTTCGATTGATTGCAACTCTGGGGTGCATCAATACACATGATTGATATGTTAACATAATATATTCGATATTGTTTCAAGCGCAAATTAAATCTTTGAAATTACAATAAAAGGCCACACGTACGTTCACGCCCACGACAGGTCTTCTAGTTTATTTCTATTATGGAATGGTTATTGCCTTATTTTCATACGTAAATACCGACGGTGAGTAGAAGGAACACAATGCCAAAGCCGAGAAATATCGAGGCACACAAGCTAATCAGCAGTTCCTTAATCAGAGTCTTTTCCTTGGTGGTCTTCCGGGATACGACAAAGATGAAGAACCAGGCCGTGAAGAATGTTCCGATGGTGAGAAGCACGGTCGCGAGGTGGGGAAATACCGCTGGATTGATGGGCGAAACGTAGCGCTTCATGTTTTCAAACGAGACGGTGTCCATGCTGCAATAATCAAAATGTGCTTTAGTTTGTCAGCCAACCCTTACTCTCTGGTTACTTCAATTTACTTTGTTATTTAAATCTTTATTTGTTAAAATCGACGCAAATCGTACGTGGCCGGCAGCTAGTGTTGTATTCAGTGTGACCGTGGACCTATCGATAAAGTATACGGTCTGACCCTCAGAAATATACCGTAAGTATACCGATCAAAAAGACAGCAAATTTCATACAATCCAATAAAAAGGTGTCCTAAAATTTGAAAATCTTTTAGAAAGCTGATTCATCAATCGGGTACAACTATGTTTTTAGGGCTGAGGGTCCAAGTTAGCTAGTAATATTAAAACGAGGAATACAATATGATTTCCGATCATGGACAGAGAACGATAAACCAACAAACTTCACGAGAATTATGAAAATTGAAGAATTTTAACGCAGTTCAGGTGAAAGGATTATTTTCCGCGATTTAACTCAGGCTGGTCACCGGTTTAAAGATGGTTAACTGGGTTAAACTAGTTTTTTGAATTGGTATATTTTAAAAATGAGACAATATATTTCGGTATATTTTTGAGGGTCGGACGGTATATTTTATCGGTACCTCCGATACAATCACAAACGTGCTCTTCTCTCTTCTTATTATCAATGCGCAAGAATTGTAAAAAACAGAAAAAGAAAACAAAGACGCACGATGAGCGATGTATGTATCAATTTGTTGGAAAATAACATCGTTAATATATATATTTCCTACAACCCATTGTAGCTTGAGGACATGGACAGCGAGCGATTGAATGAGCTGGAGTCCATTCTCTACGCATCCATCCATTACAGCGATCATGGATCTGGCGAAACTGGTGCTGGTGAAATCTCACCTTCTGTGGCCGATCAGCAGCGAGCCGTGGATGCCCAATACATGCCGCCCCCGCCACAACAGCAGCAGAAACAGCCTCAGGCCCAGCGCATTGTCAGCAACAAACGTGTAATCAACAATGCAGTCGCAAAGCCACGCTACTGGGCGGAGGAAAAGGACGGTGCAGGCAGCATAGAAACTCAAAATGTATCCACAGGTGAGTAACTACTGAATGTTTTTCATCAAGATGGCCATAGAAATAGAGTCCCGTCCGGTTCGAAAATATATCCCCCAACTTTGGATTGCCTTCGAAATTCCACTTACGAATTCTCTGCTTTCGGCCATGAAGTATCTGCGTTCGTTGCTGGCTCTGGGGAGCACAACTCTGCGTATCCTCTTTGAGTGGTTGGGCCTGTTGAACCCCGTCACCCTGGTACTGGCCACGCTCAATCTGCTCTGCTTAGTAGTGTGGCTGGACTACCATTTCCGGCAATATGGCTGCGATCTACTCTTCTGGCAGAAGGAGCTGAGCCAGTTCCCCCACGAGTACATTCTCACGGGCATCTTGATGACGGCCGCGACCTATGTGCTGGTCTCAGTCGTGGATGTCGTTGTCTTTACGGCCCTGCTGCGTCGTAACTTGCGCGAGTTCAACAAGCCGCTCCTCCACTACGAGGAACGCTACCGACGATTCGTGTTGATACGTCTGGTGCGGCAGCTGGAGCACGCGCTTGTGATGCAGACACTCTCGGCCAATGCGAGTCATGTGGCGGTCAAGAACATGTGCGAGGCACAAAGGATGATCAAAGAGGCGATCAACATGTTTCGCACCTCGGTCAAGGTCCTACTGTGGCCGAACAGATCCGATCTGCATGAGGATCCGTTCATCCTCTACCACATAAACGAGGGACAGCTGGAAGAGCTCAATGCACACGGCTATTGTTTGGGCGATGTGGATTCACTGGATCTGGGCAATCAGTATTTGAAATATTTGCTTAACCCTTTTTGGTATTGAAATTCTTGTTACTCTGACAATAAATTAAAAGTGGGTTTATTTTGATTTTGACTCATTCTAAGTAAACGTCACTTTTATATTTCAAGCTACTGATGTCACCTCGTCGTCAACGCCTAAGGAGGCAGAAAAGCCAAGTGGTCAGCATCAATCACTACAAAACAAAAAGGAAACATTAAACTCCCCAAAAACCCCCCAGCAGAAGCAACAAAATCAGCAAAGGGACAAGGCGAAGCTTTCCTCGAAGCAACTACCGAAGCCAGAACGGAAGGAAAAGGAGAATCCTTCACCAAAGCCACAGCCAAAAGCAGAACAGAGGAATAACAAGTGGAAGAGCTCTCCAAAGCCACAATTGAAAACAGAACAGAAGCCACAATCAGCACAGAAGCCCCAACCAGCACAGAAACCAAAAAGTCAACCCCGGCCACAACACGCCGATGATGAACCCGAGCGCTTTGACCAGAAACTACTAGTTGCCATACCTTCGAATTGGACGCCCAAAAAGCCAAAGGGAAAACAGCAGGTTAAACCCGAACCGGGACCCTTCACCAAGGCCAATCGCAAGCTATTGCAAATGGAACGCCTCGCAGCCAAAAAGCAAAAGTCCAAACAGGCGCTGGCCAACAAGAAACAGCGCAAGCCATCAGAACCCGTGGAATTTGTGGATTTGGGCGAAACTTCCAATGATGATGACGATGATGATGTGATACTCGTGCCACTGCCACCAGTACCGGTGATCGATCTGGACACCAGCGACACGGAGCAGAACAGTCCAGCGGATCAATATCACGAGGAGAATGCCATGGACGCTGCCGATGTGGAAATGAGTATCTCGTGCATTACCCAGCCGGAGGCAGGAGCAGCCCCTTTAACGCCCCCACTGCACTCGCCGTGCAATTCGGTCTTGTCCAGCGATGATTTCATTGTCCAGAAGGACACGAGTCGCCTGCTGGAGGACAGGGCGCGAGCCACAGATGAGGATCTCCTGGTGCTGACGGAGAATGCCATCAGAGAGGCTGCCGGCCAGCAGGATGTGGATATGGAGCAGCAGAAGCCAGAGGCTGAAGTAGACGTAAACGTAGATGCACCTGTAGGGGCTGATCAAGCGGCCGAAACCTCCTCCGAGTACGAGTTTGTGCCGCCCTCGCGGCTGGAGGAAATCAAGTTGAATTATCGCGTCGATGATCACCAACAGTTCCGGGCCCTGGATGTCTACGAAAGCGAATCAGATCTCACCGAGAGCGGCATCTACTCCAAGGCCAAGGCAAAGGCCACGCCCACTATCATACGCAGCGTGGAGTCGCCCTCGGACAGCTCCGATATCGAGGAGGTCGTGGATCCGAACGTGAACAAGATGAAGCGCCTGCGCAAGCGTCGCTCGTCAAGCACAAACCAAAGCCAGTCCGAGCCCAACAACGACGATGACGAGGACGACACCGACAGCGAGGATGACGTGCAGCCCACAGGAGTGCCGGGCCTTGCCCGTGGCATGGCAGTGGAGCGTTGCAAGCGCAAGATTCGCCGCATCAGCGCTCGCCGTAACTCAGAGGATATTCAAAGGGGAGCGGCATATCCACGGATTGCAAATCTTAAGGCAATACACGAGTCTAGCTCCAATTCCGGTTCGGAGGATGATCTGCCCAGTGCTCGGGCCATTGCAGAGCGTCTTCTGCAGCAGGAGCAGGGAAAGGAGAGGGGACAGCAACAACAAGAGGTACAAAAGCTCCGCGAAGCACAACCCGATGATCGGATGGAAATTCTTTCAATTGGCACCGATGCAGACTCCGAAAATGAGGCAGAGTTCAACAATGCCGTCTCCGATCGCCTATTGGCGATCTTCGAGCGCATTGATGCCGACCCCACAAGCAAGTCCCCTGAAGCGGAAGTTTCCGCTGACATTGGTCTTTCGGAGGACGAGGAGCCTTTCCAATATGCCGCAGACACTACAATGCCAACGGAGGCCTATCTTCCAGAGGAGGAGGAGGAGCAGATTGAAGCAGAGCCATCGATCAAAGTGGAACACAATATCGCAAAGCTGACAGACGAGCCTCCGCTTACGGGAGGGCAACTTGTTGGCTGGAATGAGGAGATGTGCTGCTTCTACAATGACAGCTGGAACGGCGAGAACTTCAATGTCCAGAAAATCCAAAGATCCATGAATGGTAAGCATTTGGTGAGGACACAAACACTAAAGAACAGTCAGACCTCATATTTCTTTCATTAAAGCGCGCCTGCAGTGGAGAATCCTTAACGAGGACCGATATCCGGTCGTTCGTCCTCGCTCACGCGCCAAATGCACCAACTGCGCCGAGATGGGTCACATGAGATCCAAGTGCCCGCGTCCACGCAAGCCGCTCGTCTGTCACATGTGCGGCCAGGCGGGGCATGCCGAACCACGCTGCCCCAATGCCATCTGTTTGGGTGTAAGACACGGAAATCACTTGTGCGTTAAGATCACAAATTCAATCGAGTTTCCTTGGCTTTCTTTACAGTGCGGCGCCAAACAGGCCACCTATGTGCAGCAGTGCAACAAGTGCTCATTCCACAGTCGACTCATCTGCCAGCTGTGCAGGATGCGGGGCCATGGTGTGGACCTTTGCCCGGACAAGTGGCGTCGCTATCATTCAACGGTAAGCGGAGAAACCCAACTAAACGATCCCTCGATTAAAGCATTCCTTCTCTTCCATTAGATCCGCTCAAATGTGGCACTGCAGAGCAATGTCCAGTGGAACTCGAAGCAGTGCAGCTTTTGCGCCGGACGGGGCCATCTCTTCGAGAACTGCCGCCAGCGCATTGGCGATTTTCGCAGCCAAACGTATGTCTCTCATATTGTGTCGCATCAGAAGAGCTACAATGATCGCAGCGGAAATCTAGGCTATTTGGGGGACCTCCCGGCGTTCTATGCCAACAATACCCCCTTTAGCTTCGTGTGGAGCGATCCGAACATCCCCAAGAACAGCTACTATGCCAGATTCCTTACTCGGGCAAACCTCGTCCAGCCACTGAGCACAAGCCGAAAGGCCACACCCCTTACCCCCCTGGAAATGATCCCTTCTAAAGGTTATACCCACGACTATGTGCCGAATGCCCAGGCGAAGGCTGCTCGTGGGCAAGTCGTAGCCGCAGAGGAAACAGCAGTCAAAAAGAACACGCCTGTAGCAGATAAGATACCAGCGCCAGCCCCTGAACCAGAGCAGGCCCCAGAACCAGATCAGGCCCCAGAACCAGAGGAGGCCCCAGAACCAGAGGAGGTCCTAGAACCAGATAAGGCCCCGGAACCAGAGGAGGTCGCAAAATCAGAGGAAGCCCCAGAACCGGAGCAGAGTAATGAAGTCGAGGAGACCATCCAAGAAGAGTCACCAGTCGCGATACAGCGTGAGGAGATCTCCACCAGTTTCGAGGCGCAGCCAGAGGAACCTGTCAAACTGATTGCCAGCACCAGCAGACCATCTGTGGGCGTCCATGAGCTGGACTCGGACTCGAATTACAGCTTCTCCGAGCACTTTGAGATGCCCACGTCGACGACAAGCGAGGAGACGAACATACCAATGGAGGAAACTCGCAAGAATAGCCGTCCCATGGGTCCCATGCCCGATGTTATACCTTTGTCCAGCGACAATGACGATGATTTCCACATCTCCTCCAACAGCCAAGGCATCTCGATGTGCGTCAACAGCAAGCAGATGGAGAGGATGGATGACAGTGCGAACGAAGAGATGCCGGATGTATCCTGCGAGGGAAAGATCATCATGGCCCGCGACCTGTCCGAGTACTTGTTCAGTCCGGAGGGATGGAAGTTTCTTGTCGAGACGTCTAAGCAATGCCAAGTGACTGTGCGCATGGACTTGAAGGAGTATGGCTATGTCCTGGTGATCTACGGACGGCGAATGCATCAGGAAGAGCTGCAACTAAAACTGCTGCACCGTCATCAGGATGTCAAGCGCAAGAGTGCCGAGTTCCAGAGCCAAAAGCCACCGAAACGCGTTGATGTCCTAATCCGCTTCCTAAGGGACGGCATTAACAGCCTCAACAGTAAACTGGGCAATGCCAAGGCCCTTTATAGGACCATCAAGCAGCGGGAGAGCTTAAACACTAAGAATGGTTTCAAAATGGCGGAGAAGAAGCGGCGCCTGCTTAACATGATCCTCGTGGGGCAAGCAGGTCTAGAGAACGGCGACTTGCACTTGGATCAACTGCTGGTGCTTTTGCAGAACCTAATTACCGATTTCTCGCCCGATGACAATGCCTCGCCGGCGATGCGCACCGAAATCGAAGACCACTGGCGCATGATTTTCACCGCCTATCCCCATCCCAAGTATGATAAACTTTTGGAGGCCTATGAAAGCTTAGATCTGAAGAATCGCCTGCCTTCGCTGAACATAGATCCAGCTCTCTTAGGACTGCCGCCGCTTCAAATGGGAAGGGGCCAGCCGACGCCTCAGCCAACCAACAAGCGGGACGTATCCCCCATCCCGCCGCCACCAACCTGGCAGCACATGGCACCGCCACCACCGCCCAAGCAGAACGCGAAGGAACAGCGTCCATTCGGAGCAGGACAACCCCAAAGGCAGCAACGCCCAGCCGCAGGACAGCCCCAACAGCAGCATCGTCCTGGAAACGGACAACCCCAACAGCAACAGCGTTCAGGAATGGGACAGCCCCAACAGAAACAACGACAAGGAGCAGGAAAACCTCAACAGCAGCAACGTCCAGGAGCAGGACAACAGCAGCAACGTCCAGGAGGGGCAGGACAGCCCCAAAAGCAACAACGTACTGCAGCAGCAGGACATTTGCAACAGCAGCAACGTCCAGGAGCTGGACAAATACCACAGCACCAGCAGCAGCAACGTCCAGGAGCAGGACAACTACCACAGCACCAGCAGCACCAGCGTCCAGGAGCAGGACAACTACCACAGCACCAGCAGCAGCAACGTCCAGGAGCAGGACAACTACCACAGTACCAGCAGCACCAGCGTCCAGGAGCTGGAACACCACAACAGCAGCAGCGTCCAGGAGCGGGACAACAGCAGCAGCGTTTAGGAGCGGGACAACAGCAGCAGCGTCCAGGATCGGGGCAACAGCATCAGCAGCAACCGAAACGAGGCCAGTTCATACAGATGCCCTTCAACAATCCCCAGCAACGAGCTCGGGCCGATCTTCAGCTCCGCAGCGGCGCCAATCCAGACCATCAGTTCGCCCGACTCCTTGGCGAAGTAAAACCGAATGCGCGTGGCTTGGATGCCAACCAGCCGTCGGTTTTCTGGTCGCGCGAGTCGATGCGGTACATCGACGATCTGTTCAAGATTACATCTCGGCCGGATATGCGGGTGCGACTGAATCGTGTGCTCCAACGGGCCCAGCATGGCGCACTGTCGCACAACGACTACCGCGCTGTGATCGATCTACACTTGCTACTGTCGAATCAATGAGTGCTACTCAAAGGGGGGAATCTCTTATAAGGGGAATGGGAATGACGATGATTAAAATTGTTTAACAAAATCCACCAATTTAAAGAATGGGTATCTGAAAGATATTACCCAGAGCAGAATAACCGAATGAATGAATAAATAACTGACTAATTTCACTCGTACTCGTTTCTCTGTGCCATAACTCGCTATTTAATTGATTCACGGATCAATAACATAATAAGTCCAATGTGGATCTACAAATCATAAGGTAAATTCATTCTTCGGCATTGCCTCTATCCTAAATTGGTTGTTATAGTTTCCATAAGCAATTGTATTACACGTTCAGGTGGGTCGGGCGCTCGATGATTGTTCTATGCCGCTGAGGTCTGCTGCGTCTGTTCCTGCGTTGTCGTGGACTGGGCCGAGGAAGCCTCGCCGGACTTCTCAGTGACACCCAGCCAGGGGCAGCGTTTTTGGAGCTCCATGCGGTATCTGGGATGACTGATGGCATACACAAACGGATCTATGCAGGCCACCAGCTTGCAGGTACAGGCCGGAATCATTGTGGCTCCTGGCGTCAGTAGACTCTTGTCGCCAAAGGCTCCGATTAGGGACATCACGCCATAGGGGGTCCAGGACACGAAGAACAGAAAGCAAATGGTGATGGCCGCCTTGGCAATTCGTATCTCGGCCGTCTCCTTGCTCTTATCCACGTTGGAGCGCAGCGATTCCACGTTCATTTTCTTGGCCTGTTCTCGCAAGGCCTTCTCGTGGTTGAAGACGTGTCCCACTATCTGGCTGTAGTAGTACAGGATCATCAGCGTAGGGCAGACGAAACTGAAGAAAAAGATGGTGCCCACAAAGAGGCGGGTGTCAAAGTTATCCGAGAGATAGTCGAACGAGCAGGATGTGAGATATCCCTCTGTAACGAAAGAAAGGTAAAACGAAATTTAATTTGCGCGCCCAACAGCAACTTACAGAAGAGAGTGAGAGATCTTATGTGCATAGGAAAGTGCGCTGCCGCTCACCTACTCGTGTGTAATACAGATCTGCACTGTAACTGTAACAATTTTGGTTCCATTCTGCCTGCTGTCTACTATTATCTACTGCAAGATATGATAATGTGTGCGAGCCGACCGATGTTTTAAAGTAACAATCACATTCCGTTATAATATTGCAATTTTCAAAATAAGACCCCGATAAGTTTCGTTTACATAAAAATACCGATATTAGCCAAAATATATCAATATATACTAGCATCGCTGCAACTGGACCGCCTACGGTATATTGTATACTTTTCGGTATATTTTGATGTCAAAATTGAGATTAAAGTATATTAAGGGTATTTCGCTACAGCATGGTATATTTAATCCATTCTTTTCATAGTATTTTCCTGTATTTTGTAAGACGCGTTATGGACCCTCTTGTCCAATTCATCAATGTAGAAACTGTATAGAAATGCCATTTAGACCCCCCAGGCCACATCGAATTCCTGATCGTTTTCCATCAAAATCTCAATATTTCAAAAATGTCTCAAAAAAGTCATGTCGAAAAGTAGATAACGGCCCATATGAAAAACGGCCAAGCTTATCAACACACGCACATATTTCTCCCTTAGGTGTCGCCTTTGATAATTACTTACAAATGTATTTCATATGTATCGAATTTATAGTTAGCGTGTAGTTACTATGTAAAAACACTTTCTGTGGAAATTGTAGTTGATCTTTTTGTTTAAACCTTAAGCAATAAAGATGAAAACTTAAATTGAACAAGCCTTGTATGCAATTAATTGAATAATTAGATAGTTAGTAATATTCCACGGAATATTAAAATCGAGGAAATATGGTTTCCAATCCTTGACGGAGAATGATTAACCCAATGTGAGCCAAGGGGGGTTTTTTGATATCCCACCGAAAATAATGAAAATGTAATAATTTCACGCAGTTCAGGTGAAAGATATCGTGATTTTTTGAAGTTCAGAGGTAGATGGCATGGATCTACAAGAAGAATTTACAATCAGTAACATTTTCCGCCATTTACCTCAAGTCGTTGAACTGTTTAAATAGAGGAGGTATAAGTTGGCTAAGGTCGATTTCTTATCCATATACGAGACGCTATATTGTTGTTGAGGAACCAAAATTAAGGCAAGAACAGTCAAAGTCAAGTATTTAAAATAAACCAGTCAAGTAGAAAATTGATTCATTAATCGGATTAAATTATGTGGGCAGGGCTTAGAGAACTATCTAGCTGGTAATATTCGACGGAATATCAAAAACGAGAAATGTGTATAATAGAACTTGAATTCGTTAGTATATTTACGGTATATTTGTATAATGAGAAGGTATATTTTGGTATATTTGTGAGGGTCGGACGGTATATTTTATCGATAAGTCCCCGACGCGGACTTAGCAAAATAGGTAAAAAAAAACAGAATGGAATTCTTGCCGTTCAGTTTTCTAACTGAATAAATAATATGCAAACGAAAAAACCCAGTTGATATATACATAAATAGTGCCTAAAAGGACTAAAATTCCTTTCGAGCAAGTGCGAGTGCAATAAAGAAAAAGGTGAGGCGGGTAGGTGGAACGCAAATAGTGAAAATAAAAAAAATTCATCTCGCTGCTGTGTGTAAATGCAAATGATATGATATTTTCATGCAACAACAAAAAGAACAACAAAAAACCAGCACAAACACAACAGTAGCAGCAGCAGCAGCCAGCAGCAGTAGCAACAGCAAAAGCAACAAAAGCGAACTTGTATTCAATGGATGTGTGCGCGAGAGGCGAATAAAAGAAAATTAGATAAAAAAGCCAAATGAAATTAGCGCACGCCTGAAATTCGAGTTTGGCGCAAGGTGAACCAAAAGGCGAAAAGCAATCAAAACAGTTTCCATTTGCTGTCGGTGTGCGTGCCGTTTTTCCTGCGAAAGAAAAACCACCTGCATTGATTTATAGTTAAAGAAAAAAGAGACGTATCCGAACGGGATGGGTCAGTGCATTGCTGCCATAAAGGCTGACTGATAAAAAAAACCCCAGCCACTCACATACACACACACACACACACGCACGCCAACACCAGCGCACCCGCACCAATACAGTGGCAGCCTGCTATGTAAGTTTACATTTACAATTATGTATTTTGTACTTGTTTATGCTGCAGTGAAGTTTAATGATATTGCCGTTGATATTGCTCTTGCTCTTACTGTTAATGTTGTTAATGGCGGCTTAAGCATTTCGCTCTGCTCTGCAACTTACGTTTTCTATTTTTTTTTATATTTTATTTTGCAACTCATTGAAAAAGAAGCACAGCACACAACAGTTAATTATATTCATGGCTGTGGCTTTTGTGGCAGTAATTACCATTTTACCCCCAGAGTTGAGGCTCTGCCCTGGAGACTTTGAGGAGAGTCTTCATATGGATATATTTCATACGGTACATGGCGTAAACGAACTGTTAATTATGTGTGTGTTCGTTCGCGATTCAGTGCGCGTCTCTATGTGTGTGCGAGTGACGTCTGTGCTTATGCTGGCTTGGTCGCTTCCACCACACCGCTGCTCCCCCCTCCTGCAACCATTCTATTCATTTCCATTTGATGCATTACGTTACGCGCTTTTCATTGCGTGTCGTAAGGCATATGCATCGTTTATGCGGGACCACATTTATGAAATGACAATTTGCACTGCAATTTCCGCCTGCTGTTAATTTTCACATCTCCCAGGTCCAAGTACGACGGTTGCTCTAAAATGATAGTCGTTTGGTTTTGCATTGGCTGTTTCTGTTTCTGTTCTGTTTAACTTCAAGGAATTTCATCAAGCTAAAGCGTTTATCTATTATAATCGTAATTTAGTCATCGTATAAACGTAGAAATAGCTCATGCCACAATATCCATACACATTCATGTGGGTGACCATTGTTATGGACGACGCCACACCCATACCATTCTCCCTCCCTCTTTCGTGCCCGCCCACAATCGGTGGGTTTTGGGTCGTCGTCCCTAATGGCCGTCCATCAGCGTCAGGGCTCCCTGATAAGACCCTACACACATGCGAGTATTTTGCGTCGTTCCACACGTGCCACTGTACCACCGTGCCGTTCCGCCCAGAAGTATTTATTTGGGCCTTCGACGTGACGCTGACCTCGGCTGCGGCTTCGGCTTCGGCTTCGACTTTAACTTCGTTCGATACGTTTCCAGTTAAATAATTGCTTAAATGCAATTCCTATGGCTCGCATTTTATCTGTTCTTTTTGGTAATGCCAACAAATTGGGGGATCTGCGGCAAGGTGAAGGTCAAGGCATGATTAATTGTTTACTCTGGGCCGTGGAGGTTCCTCCAAGTTGAACTACTCACAAAATCGAAGTGCGACACATTACTCATTCAATTCGATTTAATTTATTTTGCAGTGACGCAGCGGCAGCGGAAGGAGACGGAGAGCACAAAAAGCACAAAAAATTGTTCCCGGACGAACCGGAACGGACTGGCACTCCGCACAGGACTCCACGTTCACGGAAGAGAGAGATTTAGAAAAAACTATAGAGATATTCGTTTCGCGGAGAGAAAAATTCCAATGTCAAATAAAATCAACCCGAAACGCCGTGAACCGACAGCAGCCGCAGCAGCAGCAGGAGCACCCACGGCAGTGGCCACCAACACGAGCAGCTCGACCGGCTCCAGTGCCGGCAACACCTCCTCGGCCAACACATCCTCATCGTCCAGCTCCTCGCTGTCTTCCGCCGGTGGCGGTGATGCGGGCATGTCCGCCGACCTAACATCGCTATTCGAATGCCCCGTTTGCTTTGACTATGTGCTGCCCCCGATCCTGCAATGCTCAAGCGGGCACTTGGTGTGCGTCTCGTGCCGCTCCAAGCTCACCTGCTGCCCCACATGCCGCGGTCCGCTGGCCAATATCCGTAACCTGGCCATGGAGAAGGTTGCCTCGAACGTAAAGTTCCCGTGCAAGCATTCGGGCTACGGGTGCACTGCCTCGCTTGTATACACAGAGAAGACCGAACACGAGGAGACCTGCGAGTGTCGGCCCTACCTGTGCCCTTGCCCGGGGGCCTCCTGCAAATGGCAGGGACCGCTCGACCTAGTCATGCAGCACCTGATGATGTCCCACAAGAGCATCACAACGCTGCAGGGCGAAGACATTGTGTTTCTGGCCACCGACATTAATCTGCCCGGCGCCGTCGATTGGGTGATGATGCAGTCCTGCTTCGGCCACCACTTCATGCTCGTCCTCGAGAAGCAGGAGAAGTACGACGGACACCAGCAGTTCTTCGCTATAGTCCAGCTGATCGGCTCGCGCAAGGAGGCCGAGAACTTTGTGTACCGCCTCGAGCTGAACGGAAACCGCCGCCGCCTCACCTGGGAGGCAATGCCGCGTTCCATACACGAGGGCGTTGCCTCCGCCATACACAATTCGGATTGCCTGGTGTTCGACACATCGATTGCGCAGCTCTTCGCCGACAATGGGAATCTGGGTATCAATGTGACCATCTCTCTGGTCTAGGCAGCCGCGACTCGCCTCGCGTCCGTAAATCGCCCAATTAAATTTTTTTTTTATTTCTGTTTACATATTTGTCGTATATATATAAAATACCATATAGTTTAGCCCTTTGTTCGCATCATACGTCTAATTCGTAGGTTCTTCAAAGTTTGAATTGTAGAAAGAAACGAAAGAAAGAGGAAAAGAAGGAAGCAAGGGTGGATAGTAGAGAGATAAGCGGCGGCAAAAGCAGCATTAGAATCGTTTTAAAAACGATTCTTCGTTCTATATGCACACCCTCATAATACACCACACACCCCATACATACAAATATAATTGCATATAAATCTATATAGATATTTTTTTTGAACGTAAGTTTCGAAGTGGAAGGCAGAAAGAAGCCCAGCAAAAGGCAGAAAGTAGTGCTCCTCCCACTCGATCGGTACTAGCTCTAAGATTAAATTGTTCATATATTCCACACACACACACACACACAAACTATTTGAATGTTTTCAGAGTTTGATCATTTGGTTTTAATTTGTCGTGGTGTTATTTCTGCTTTTAGTTTAATTTTAGTTGATAAGCCGTCTCCGTCTGCCTCTGCAGCGGGCCACACCTGGAGCGGAGCTGCCTACGCGTGCCGATTTTGCCCACCAGATCCAAAAACCGCAACCACAACCACACCACCACCTACCTAACTACTATATCTACTACCACTGTAATCCACTCAACACTCAACACACAACACACAACAAACACTCTGCAAAGTCTAGTTTAGTTAATGTAAATTATTTTATACATACAATAATTGTAAATGGTAATAATTAAATCAGTTTAAACAAAATTAACCACAGCAAAGAAATCGCATAGATGATAATAACTCGAGAGTTGTTTGAGATACTATACACTCCCCGACACTTGAATACGACACACTAAAATATACACTTCGTCAGGCACCAATATTTCCGGCACAAGCCAAAGTGTCGCATTTTTGAAGAACGGAAATTTGAGTTATTTCAATTCAATTGTTTTCCTTAATCTACTTTAATGAATATTGCAATTTTTTGTGTTAAATTTATGGTAAACTTAATAGAGATTTGATGAAAATTCAAATTCACCGTTTTCTTTGGCTTGTGCCGGAAATATTGGTGCCTGAAGTGTAAATTTTTAGTGTGTCGTATTCAGATGTCGGGGAGTGTATAGAGAGAGAGAGAGAAAGAGAGAGAGTCGAACAGTTTTTTTTTTGTCAATGCCAAAATCCCCACTAACTAATCAAAGGAAATGTAACATATTGTTTTCAATGCTAAAAGACAGTCCCTACCCTACCTCCCCTCCCCACAGTTACAATCCCTAACATTTCTGCCAGATCCCACAGAGATAGAAGTACCACACCTAGTTTAGACGATCTCCCCCTGGTCCGGCTCACATTTTGTTTCAATTTCTGTCTGGTCCAAAATGTCAAATGGATGAAGAATGTAATGTGGAATGAATTATAAGGCATCTGCACCATATTTAGCTTTTAATGCGCCGATTTTACCGCGCGCCCCCTACCCCCTACCCCCTACCCCACACTACCATACGAGATCACATACACAACAGAACTACAGAAAAGTGAAATAAACGTGATTAGTAAAAAGTATTAACGATCTTTGATTTAATTCATTTAAAGAAAAACACAAATAGCCTTTATTCTGCCTCATTGCAGGTTGTCGATGAAAAAATCTACGCTGATATAGAGTCTAACATCGGCTACAGGGATTACCATGTAGACTTTAAAATAAAGCTGGTTTTCTCGCTGGAGAAAATACATAGATGAAACACTTCTTAACACTTAATAAGTTGCATAGCGACGGTGGCAAAAAATGCGGCAATTTTTGATGCAGCAACCACTTGCCACCGGTACTAATCAAAAATGTTCCTGACGATCGAATAAAAGTCACCATCAAAGTAGGTTTTTCTTCCTTTTCTGAGGCTGAACCAAGTAGTCCTTTCCTTTCCCCTTTAATTTCAATCCCAAGTCATATATGGTATTATAGTCATTCGTAAAGTTATAGTCAGTCGGGCTAAAGCGTTTTATTCAGTCCTAAATTCTCCTACAAACACTACAAAAAAAAAAAAATAGAATCAGTAAAAATTTTCAGTTTTCAACAGAATTATTTTAGTTTTAGCAAAAATTTAATGTTCCATCGTTATTCAGAAATTAAATACCGAAACGCCTTGTCTTTGCTTCAAGACTTTTATTTGGCTTTCGAGGAGATGCTGCCACGACGTCAATCAGCCCCGGACTTGCAAGCTGCGCAGGCATCCTCGGGCCATAATCGTGGTGCAAGTGCAGGTGAAGCAGCCCCAAGCCCAGCGCCAGGGCCAGGACACCTGGAACTTGTCCCCAAGCCGGGCTCTGTGGCTCTCATGCAGGTGAACAGGCCACCGAATCCGGCCGCCGGGGAGAATCAGGAACAGCCCCAGGAGGGGGCCCTCGTACGGATGGAGAGGACCGTGGATGGGTCCCTTGGCGACTACTTTTTGTCGCTGCTGGAGTGCCCCGTGTGCTTCGGGTATATAATGCCACCGATCATGCAGTGCACGCGGGGGCACGTGATCTGCTCATCGTGCCGCCACAAGCTGACCCTGTGCCCCGTGTGCCGCGTGCCGATGAGCAACATCCGTAACCTGGCCATGGAGAACGTGGCCTCAAAGCTGATCTTCCCATGCAAGCACTCGTACTTCGGCTGCAAGCACCGTATGGCCTATTCGGAGAAGAAGCTGCACGAGGATGACTGCGAGTTCCGACCCTTCTTCTGCCCCTATCCGGACGACAAGTGCGTGTGGCAGGGGCCGCTCAAGGATGTCTTCAATCATCTGACTGCCACGCACGACAATGTCATCACGATGGAGGGTCACGACATCATCTTCCTGGCCACTAACGTGAATCTGGAGGGGGCCCTCGACTGGACGATGGTGCAGTCCTGCCACGGCCGGCACTTCCTGCTCTCGCTGGAGAAGATCCATCTGGGCGAGGGCTGTCAGCAGTACTTTGCCGCCTGCCGCATGATCGGCACCATGCGCGATGCCGCCGAATTCGACTACAGCATCTCGCTGGACGCCAACAATCGTACCCTTCGCTGGCAGTCCAAGCCCAGGTCCGTTCGCGAGAGCTTCGTGACGTTCACCAATGCCGACTTTCTGGTGCTCAACAAGACAACGGTGGAGCTGTTTTCCGAAGAAGGCAACTTGGCTCTGAATGTGGTCATCACGCCGACTGAATCCGAATTGAACTAGGCGACACTGGAGCACGGACCCCGCACCCCGCACCCCTTCCTCTTCTTCTTCCTCTACTCTACCTTTGCGTTTGTGGCGTATACAAAATAGAAGGCGCATTCGTATAGTCAAAAGTATTTGCATAAAAACTATTTCAGAGTGGAATTTCTATCTGTTTTCCTATGGGCACTTACAGGGGTAGGTGAGGAAATGAGACCTGCGACCAGAGACCGCAGAGAGGCACTCACCTGGCACAAATCGATCCCAGAACTGTGTCAGGGGGAGTACAACCCACGGCGTACAGTACAGCCAAATGATGATGTTCATGATCACGGCCTTGGTGAAGGTCATGTTGCGGTTCATGGGCTTGGTGATCACATTGTAGCGATCATAGCCAATGGCCGCATTGGTCATCCCGGCACCGATGCCCGAGTAGGAGCCAATGGAGGCAAAGATCTGGCACCATGTGTTGCCCAAGGCGAACCCGCGATGGAAGCTGTTGTAGATGAAGATGGGCGCCTTCAGGCACATGATCAGGTCGAAGACGGCCAGATTGAGGACGAACATGTTCGAGGGTGTGCGCAAGGATTTCGATGTACTGAATATCCATATGACCATTCCATTGCCCAGGGTCGAGGCGAAGAAGAGAAAGATGTAGAAGACGCCCAGCATGTAGTGCATGGATGCGGGCGGCTCCAGCTGCGTCAGCCAGTGCTCCGGTATGTACTGTATCTGATCCGGGGGCACGTTCCACCCGAGGAACTGCAACTCATCGCTGCCCGAGGACATGCGAGCCTCCGGCCGTAATGGAGGCTCACTGGCGTTGCACAGGGCATCCATGACCGATACACTTTACGGAGGAGATACCGTGGACGGGGCCGCCCACTGGGTTAAACTGTTGGCACACCTTCTGTGGGGGTCTTTTATATGTTAACCCCGCCGCTAGATAAATTTAATTAGGCTTTGCGGTTGCGTGTCAATAAATACGATTTTCCGTCAAGTCTGCAGTAAATATTTCAGCGACAATTTCATTTGAATCACGGCCAAAGCGGATAGAGGCTGAAAATGCTGTTAAGACATAAAATGTGATGGCCATGACACTTAAAATGGAGAAAAAGACCAATTGATTATCTAATAGCCATTCTAAATGTCTAAATTAACTTGTTCTTCTTTCATTTGTTTATTTTCTTCTTTTTTGAGTTCAAATTAAACGCATTCGCGCAAATCAGTGCTATGAAGTCCATTAAAGATAGTGTTGAAAATTCGTGCAATTTGTTTACGTTTCGCGCTGAATGGCCAGGATAAAGAAGAAAAACAATTCCTCGTAAAATGAAAAAATAACAAAACAAAATAAACGCGACGAGCTATGGACGAAGTGGACAAGATAATCATGCACCAGCTGCATCAGGTGGATGCCGGCATAGAGCCCACGGACGAGCTGGCCAGTTTCACGCCGGAACTGGTGGTGCGAGCCGTCTCCAGCTGTTTGACGGAAATCCGCCCAGAGTTGGAGGTACCTCGGTCCCTGCCGGGCGGCGCGATGGCTCAGCGGTTCAGCGTGGCTACTGGCCTGGCCGAGAGGTGCAAGGAGAGCGGATACCACGGCGACATCGGCTACCAGACATTCCTCTACCCCAATCCCATCGAGCTGCGGCGCCTGCTGATGTTCCTGATCGAGCAGCTGCCACGGGAGCGCCAGGCGACCGATGACCTGACCGGCAAGTCGCATCCGCTGAGTGGCAGGGAAATGCTACAGCGCCAGATACGCAAGAAGCTGACGGCCCAGCTGAAGGCTATGTGGGTGCCGCAGTTCTGTCGGGCAGTGGGCAACAGGAAATCGCATGGATGCAGCAGCTTGTGCATAGATTTTCGGCCAAAGTTGAATCTGAATGTGCCATCGGCCAATCTGGAGGAACGCACCAAGGAAGTGCAGCAGTACTTTGACCAGCAGGCCCCCAATCTCTTCCAGCAGACAGCGTCCAGCTCCTACGATCTCATTGCATCGGTGCTGCACAAGAACGATCTGGAGCGCTGGGGCCAAGGGTTGACCGACTCAGGAATGTTTTTGCTGGCCAGCGAAGATCCAGTCATTCCAATGGTTCTGGCCACAGAGAAACCATCAGCGACTGCCGCTGAGATGACGCCCCTCGAGGAGCTGACTGACGAGGTCCAGAAGCTGCGCACACAATGCGAGACACTGCTGGGAGAGCGAAAGGCCTACACCGCCAGGATAGGAGCACTGAAGCAGCGGGAAAGCGAAGCCACGAAGGAACTGGCGGACATTCAACCCCTGCTGAAGCTGCACGAACGCACCTGCCTGGTGCTGGCCGATCCCGAGCAGAATGTGACCAAACTGGAGGCCCTGCTGCAGGCCACCGAAGCCAAGCGTCGCACATTGACCCAGCAGTGGCAGGATTATCGTCTGCCCCTGCTGGAAACCTTGGAGACGCTGAAGACGGCCAAAGAGGCACAACACGTCCAGAGTATTCGCAGCGGGATTGAGCAGCTAGAGCAGGAGCTCAAAGAGAAGACCCAACAGCACAACGATCTAAATACGGCTTTACGCACTGCCACCCAGTCGCTGGCTCCGCGCAAGGAGTATACGCGTCGCATCCACGAGTTCATCGGCAACATTCGCAAACAGCGGGCGGACATCTTCAAGGTGCTCGACGACACGCGGCAGCTTCAGAAGCAGCTTAATGTGGTGGGCGCCCAACTGCAGCGCCAGTTCAACTACACCGATGACCTGCTCTTCCAGAGCGCCAAGCACGATCTGCATGCAAAGAAGGCGTACAAGCTGCTGGCCCAGCTCCATGCCAACTGCAGCGAACTGGTCGAGTGCGTGGCCCTAACTGGCAATGTGACCAAACAAATCCGTGAGCTTGAGGTGCAAATCGATGGGGAGAAACTGAAGAATGTCCTCACCAGCCTGCAGCAGATCACGGGCGACATCCAGAAGTTCGAGCAGAGCATACAGGAGCTGCAGTCACAGATAAGCACAATGGAGAATGGTGTGGCAAAGGCCTAGACCTAGAGTCCTGGTGCCCTCTATTTTACCTATGTATTAGTGCCAATTGTAATAAATCAAAGCAGTCGCGCCTAGCGTTGATTTTATTAACCAAAGGTGCATACATTTGTATTTAACTTATTATTAACTAAAGCCATTATGAATTTTAATTCTCATTTTGAATCTCCCGCAAGAAAACAGCTGTTTGCGTTCTCCTGAAATTTCTCAGCGGGAAAGTTTTAAAAGCTTCCTGTCATGGTAAGGAGGGAAAAGGGAATTGACGAAATGCGTGTTATCCAAGCTCCATTGAAGTATTGAACTTTAGTAATTATGCAAAAATAGTCTCTAAATTTAAAAGTTTATGTATCGGATCGATATACATATATGTATATGCAGGAATCTATTTAAATGCAAGAATACGCCAAAAACATGCCAAGCTGAGAAAATGTAGTCATTATTCAAAGCAGCTTGGATAACGGAATTTTAACATGAATTAAAGAAGATAGGGTATACAAATGACAACACCCCATACATATGTTGTTGATATACAGAAAATGTGTAGGATGATGGATGGATCTACAAGAAGTATTAGTTTTTTCGCAGTTTAACGCGAAATGTTTAAATAGTGGGGGGTCGTTTTGTTTTTCATCGGTATATTTTAAAAATGGGGCGGTATATTTCGGTATATTTGTAAGGTCTGACGCTCATAATTCAACGAAAAAATGAGTCGTTATTTTGAATGGGCTATAAAGAGGGTATGGACAACAGGCGAAAACGGCCAAAGCAAATCGCAATTTTGTACGAACCCTCACCTAGCGTGTGAGGACAATATACCTTGAAGACTAAATCGGCAAGGTACATTTAGCAAATGGGGTAGATTTTACCTAGCGTGCGTTGCATTTTCCGGGCCGTGTTGCCTGTTGCCCACACCCACTTCTTCGTTCCTCTATGTAGCAAATGTGTAGTTATCATGTAGTTCTGTGCGTAATTTCAGTGTAGACACTGAAGCGCGAAGTCGTTCACTAGCTTTGAATTCATTTTTGGACCTCTGAAGCGCGCGTCGTCGGCTGGGGTCTCTCCGTGCTTTCGTTTCTTTTTTGTGTTGTGTGTTGTTGATTTACTTTCGTTGGTTTTTAATTTAAAGTAAGCGCCTGCCCAAGCGGTACTCGGGGCTCTGGCTCTGCTCGACTCAAGACTCAAGTGGAGGTCGTGTGCCGAGAGCCTCCGGCCAGTTTCTAGTGTCTCCAGTGCTTAGGGTTTTACTGAAAACTACTAAAATTACACGAAAAACCAACAATTGCTAGCCTAGCCTAGCCCTGTCTGCTGCCTGGCACACATCAAAATAAAACACTTGAGAGTGGCATTGCTGGGGTGCTTGCTTGCGCTGTTGGTTGTTGGTGCTTCGTGGTGGTGCTGCTCTGTTGTCCATGCCCATGTCCCGTGTGCCTGGCCTGTGCCGCTCCAGAACTTGTTTCGTGGCCGGCCTAGAGTTTGGTTTTTTTGAGTTCTTGCATGCGCGCCGATAACACGTTTAACCGGTGTGCGTGTGTGCCGCCACTTGCATGTGTGTGTGCGTGTGTGTGTCTGTGCTTAAGTGCATGTGTGTGTGTCTCCTTCAACAAACTGTTGCTGCTGCTGCTGCTGCCACTACTGATGACGTCGACGAAGGCCCTTCTGCGGCATGCTGCTGCAGGCCATAATTATTATGCTGCTGCCCTCCCAATTGAATTCCAATTAGAATTGCGATCTGTGAAGGTCGTCGTGCAGCAACACACACACATACACACACACACGTACACCACACACAAGAGAGTTCCACCAAATTAATTGGCGGCATTTAGCCGGCCGGCTTGGGATTCGGCGGCTCTGCTTCGTTGCCTCTTTGGAGTCAGTCCGGGGGGGAGGTCAATCAACGTTGGAGAGCAACAGCAGTAGCAGTGGCAGTGGCAGAGCGAGAAGAAGCAGGCAGCAGCAAAGCAAGAAGAACAAAATTGTTTGTCTGTCGTTCCGGTTGCCGTAATATTTGCCTATTTTGGGTCCCGGCTCTCACCTTTCGTGACGTTTGCTGCTAAAAATAACCAGTGAACACATTCCTAAACATATGATTCCCTTTCGTACTTTTGAACAATTTAAAAAAGTGTAACGGTAATGGTAGCAGAGTAGTGGCAACACCTACACCACATACGCTCTCATGGCCCACACACCAATACCAATGCAAAGCACTCTACCGGCAATTAATAAAAAAAAACAAAAGCAACAAAAAGTGGGAGAAAGACAAAAGCAGACCTCGGTGCACCGAAGCTTGTGAATACCCTTGCAAAATTGGTTTCTCTCTTAGAGCTATAGGGATATAGTTGTCCGATTTTAGTACGGTTCGAGAGGTGGATCTAGGATTTGCAATCTGCATCCATTAGCTCCAAGAGCAGACCAAGGAGAGACTCCTTAAGAACAAAGCTCTCTATGGCAGCTAGGTAGAGGCTTCCCGTAAACTTTATTGGATCGAAATATTTACTATTCCTTATCATAGCACCTCCACCTCCCCCCCTGCAAGGGTATTTGCAAAACTCAAGTGAGGTATAAATCGAAAAACGTTCCACTCTAACGACATATTTCAATGGCTACGCAATAATTTGTTTATAGAAAGCAAAAACAAAAACAAGAAGATAGTAACCAGAAATGGGAAAATATTCGCCAACTGATAAACATTTTTTTTCTTCTTTTTTTTATGTGTTATAAAAATAATATGTTCCGTTCCGCAGCACCGCAAAAAGCGATAAACAATAATCTAAGCCAAAAAGAAAGTGAAAAGTGAAAAGTGTGTAACCAAAAGCAATACGAAAGAAGTTTGTAATTAGAAAAAAAAAAACCACAAACAGAAGGAGGAAAATTGTTAAATATGACACCATCGCCGACCAAGGAGCTCGTGAGTGCCACACCGACAATTTCCCGACGTCCGCGTGAGGAATTCGCCGAGAAGGTGGGGTCACATACATATATACCATACCAAACATTCAAGGGAGGGATATACATAGTACAACCCGTCCAGAACTTCCTGTGTGTCTGTGTTTCCATTAATTGACCCCAAATTCCTGGCATATATGCCTTTCAAAAGCATATAAACATTTGCTGGTCTCCTTCCCTGCCCCGCTCTGTTCGGACTTTATAGATTTGTTCATTTGCTCTTTAAACCGTTGCCCGTTTGTTTTTGTGTTTGTTTGTTTTGTGCAATGCACAGTACAATAAAATATATGTACTCGATCCGTACACACAGCACACATCAATGTGCCGTCCAAATAAATATAGCTGTCATCGCTCTTTTTTTCCTTCGACTTCTGTCGCCCTCTCCCAACCTCTCACCTGCTGCTGGGCCTGCCTCCTCCACCTCACCTGGGTGTTCGTTCTACATACATTATGATTTCCGTTACTGCATCACCTCATCCTTTCTTGGCCCTGCCCTGCCCTGCCTTGCCTTTCCCGCCACTCATTTCCGTCTAGAGTCTGGACTGTGCTTTGATTTTGGTTCAGTCCATCGCTTTTCTTAGCTCTGACTAATCGAATTCTTCTAGCTGCTGGCCATGGCCTACACGTAAGGTACCCCACTGATAAGATATCATTTGGACAGAGCCTAATAATCGCTGCTGTTCTATGAGTTCTTTGTGTTCTATCAGTTCTTGAGTCTATAGAGTTTATAAATGAAATACAGAGAGGGTAGAATTTGCGGAATTCATTAATGAAAATATATATCCCAATTAAATTTATAGTCATTATTTTGGTTCATTCTTCAGATTACCCCAGTGCATGTCCAAGCCACCGAAAAGTGCCGAAAACGAAATACATGTTGTGTGCAGAACGATGCTCGATTCAAGTCTCGTCGATAAGATTCATTTGAAATGCAAGCTGTAATTCCCCTAAGAATTTCCACATATGTATTCCCCATTGAAATTCCAGTCATTATCTTCTGATTTGCATTCTCATTTCACGCTGACGTCACTTGAAGACACTTGAAATGCAAATAATTAAAAGAAACACTTGCAACAATAACAAAAGACAAACAAATTTTTGTTTAAATTCAAAGCCAGTGCCTTAATGAGAGGTCAATGTAGTACGCCCCTAGTACCCCCTACCCCCATCCACAGTTCCCTGTGAGGAATCTCGGCAATCGAGAGATCTGTAAACTGGTATTAAAACTGTTGGCGAATGGCGAGTGAGAACATGATATATACACGGCCTAATAGATGTTGAACGGTTACAGCTACGGATTCAAATGCAAATTAGTTGAAATATTTTAGTTATTTATAGCCAAGATCTGGATCCAGACAAAAGCTGTCACCAGACAACGCCCCAGGAATGTGATACAGAGAGGGAGAGGGAGGGAGAGAGAGATGTCAAGCGTGGCTTCGAGGCCCCGAAAACCGAAACAAATTAAGAGACAACTCCACTCACAGCAATCAGTGGGGCTTTGGCTTTTTTCTTTCCTTCTTTTTTTTGTCAATTGATTGATTCGCCACAGTCGGCAGCAAGTTTGCTTGTAGATCAATCAATTGGTTGCACATGCCGAGGTGTACCTGTGCGGGAGTTGTGGTACGAACATAATACATATATCGTGTATATATACTTATGTCTGGGGCTGTCAACGATTGTCAGTCAAGCGTCTAATGCAGGCGAATTTAATGGCATTGACCATGAGGCTAATACCAAGCGGAGGAATAAAGTTTTGATACCCTTGCCAGGAGAGGGTACTACTAACTACTAACTTTATAGAGGAAATGTGTTTTATAACCTCCATAATTTACTCAATGGAACCCCATACGTCCTGTCTAGTTTGGTTCATTATATCACTCATATATCTTGTTCCTTTTTTTGCCGTTTTATGTCCAGCATTGAAGGCCAATATCGTGGGTTTGGTGGCTTTTTGTGGCGTGCTAGCAGCTAATTTTGTAAATTCTGCATATGCTGTTTGCACATTAACAAAAAGAAAGAAAAAACAACAGAAAATAGCTGAAAAGGGTCGAATTTTCGATACCCTAACCAGTTTGCAGTTTGATTCCTTTGGCAAGAGAAAAGATTTCCTCTGTGGGAGAGCTGTACTTTCACCGATTCCTATGATCATTTCTGA